GCCGGAGCTGAAGGATGATAATGAGTTGTGGATGCCCAAGCGACTATCACACGCTTCTTACCTGCAACTTGAAAGAATGAGAGCGACTGCACGCCTTCATCCCATCGACAAGCAGGACCACTACTGGGACAGCCTGGTGAGCCAAGAAGCAGTAAGCCAGGCAAATTGGGCGTGTGCGAATGTCCACAGTGGCAGAGTCTCTCTCTTCCGTGGGCCGGCTTCAGTTCGAGCAGAGAAGCGGCAATTACGCGAGAAGAAGTTACGGGCGGAGGGGAGACTATCAGGCAGACAGCCTGAATGGGGATTTGGTCACTTCTACCTTTGAGCCCCACGAAAGAGAGGAAAGAACTGTGGAATTTGTCGAGGTCGAGCTCAGCAAGAATTGAGTTGAGAATCACAAAACAACATTTCGCTCCACGAGCAATCGACACCGCAACACACCCCAATCTAGAATAAATGGATACATGCACACAAGAGCACACCGACCTCGACACTGTGATACGACAACGGCATTTCCGCATAGACAGGGTGTTCAAGCGCCTATCTGGGAGATGACATCCTAGCAGCAATAAGTTTGAAGCTTGCAGAGTCAAAGAGAGAAAGCACCAGGAATATACAGCACTGGAAACCTCAAGAACCACACCATCTAACCAAAGTTGGCGGCTTCTTAGCAGCGCTTCATACAGCAAGCCATACCTTGGATACAAGATCAGCCAAAATATCGGCAGAACTGACCAGACAACAGTATGTATTTTCTGCGATTGCCAGAAAAGACAAATCAATCACCTCATCGCGACTACAGGTCGGAAGCGTTCCACCATGGAGGAATTGAAAGCGACAATCAGGCCAATTTATCGAGAGAGACAGAAGCACATAATATCTGTGCAACACTCAACTGGAGGGAAGCGATAAGGTCGGAGCGAGGTTTACTATTGCAGGACATGGAGAACGTCGATTTGGGACGATGGCAGAGGACCACCCTCGAATGTTTTCCCCATTTGATAAGGCGCGAATCGATGCGCGTTGATGTGACGGGCTTACAGGTTAGAGAGTGAGAATCAAGGATGGCATTTTGATGGAACGGGACGAAATGGGCACGACAACGGATCTGAGTCGGAACACATCAGGCCTCAAGTCAGACATGGATCTCACTTCAGGGGGGAGACACAAACCCGACACTAGAACACTCAGAGGGGAAGATTATATTCTTTCGACCCCGGCCACACGATGTCCGGACGGGAACAAATCAGCAACATCCTTAGGAGTCTGATTCGAACACACCATGAGAGGGATGACCCAGAGGCCTCAGCCAGTCTCTGGTGTCCTCGTTGATCGGAATGCTACTTCAATCACGCTCATAGAACCTTGGATATTCGACTGCGACCAGACGAACGGCAACTCAACGAAGACGACTAGGACGTCGACACCAGTTCTTCATGGACACGAAGACGAGGCTGGAAAAGGAAACACTCGTGATATGAGTGACGACCAGAGCTTTTCTGAGATCAAGACGAAGAGGAATACATGATCAAGAGGGGAGGCTCGCTAGCGGGGACGCCTAGCTAAGGGGAGAGGGAGGGGTGTACTAGGATACACAGGAGAGAAGGAATACATGGAGAGACATGGATGATTGGTGAGACGGAACAAGGCTGTAAGGCTGAGCTGAGCCTTCTGCACAGTATGACGGTACATCTTGGGATATGACATGATGGAAATGAAATGATAGGATGGGATGGAATGATATTGTATGCTACTACGCTACGCTACAGGATATGGTGATGGTGATGACCATGCAGAATGCACGACACAAATAGATACCCATCCACGATAATAGGAAATCGAACAGATCTCGGCAAAAGGGCACACCGACTCCTTTCCTTTCCTCCCCTGATTGCGAACTTTGAAGTGCAAGGTAGAGTGGTTAAGGGGAAAGGGGTGTGAAGCATGGGCGTGAACGTGAACGTGAACGCGAGAAGTGCGTGGTTACACAAACATACATACACGTATCACAGTATCGACGACATACTAGCATGGCCGACTAGATCTGTCCGATGGCCTGGTTGAGAATCTACTCGATCAATCCTAATCCTCCCCAGCTAGGCTCTTCGATTTCTCGCCCCCTTCTTATCACCTTCTAGCCAGCGAGCCAGCCAGCTGTGTGTCTGTGTCTCTATCTCTGTCTCTGTTCGGCTACTCTCTCGCCCCCGCTTAGTTCCTTGGTTTTGCCCAGGCTTTCATTCCTTCTTTCCGGTCGTCTCGTGCATGGATGTGCGAGCATGTCCCTTTTTCCCGCGGCTCCGTCTCCTCTCGATCCATCACCAAAAGACAAGAAGGGGCAAAATTCAGTACCACCGGGGCCGATACTCGGGCCACGCGCTGAGCTCCGTGCGAAACGTCTCTAGCACTTTGGCGTCGCCGTCGAAATCGACGCCGTTGCTGCGCAGTTTCTTGTGGTCGACCTCGCCGTCGACCCAGTCGGCCGCGTAGGCCATCTCGTCGGCCCAGGACTCGACCATGTCCTTGACCGCGAGGGGCAGCTTGACGGCGCTGCGGCCGCGCCACCAGGCCGGGCTGGCCACGAAGGCGAGCATGATGCGCGGCTCGGCCGTCAGGTTGGGCATCCCCGCGTGCCAGAGCCGCAGGTCGCGCAGGATCAGGCTGCCCTTGCGCGTGCGCACCTGCACGGGCGGCGAGTGTTTGCGGCGCGTCTCGAGCGCGTCGGGCTGGATCGTCAGGAGGCCTTCGACCACTTCTTCTTCACCATCGTCGCCACCACCACCACCACCACCACCACCTTCTGTTCGTCCCGTGGTGGAGGAGACCCGGTTGTTGTGCGCCTCGTGCACCGACACGTGGTGGCTCCCCACCCACACCTCGGTCCCGCCATTCTCCGCCGTCACGTCGACGAGGTTGATGTTGACGACGTACGCAAAGGGGAAGTAGGCCGGGTGCGCGAACTCGCAGTCCGAATGGACGGGCTGGCGGCCGTCCGGGGGCGCCTGCAGCGCCGTGTTGCCGTTGGCGTAGTGGACGACGGGCCGCGGGCCCAGGACCGCCGCGAGGATGGCCGCCGCGAACGGGTTGCACCAGACGTCCTTGAACATGAGGTCCCTGGTGGGCGGCGGCGCCTGGTCCATGTTGCGCGTGTGCTTGCCAAAGTTGAAGTGGTGGTCCGGGTCGGCGGCGATCTCGAGTGCCTCGGGCGACAACTTGGCGTTGAGCGCGTCGAGGTGCTCCGGGTCGATGGCGTTGTCGAGCACCACGATGCCGTCTTTGTGCAGGAACGCGACCCCTTCGCCGATGAGGTCGAGCGTCGCGGTGCCCGACCGGCGCACGTCTTCGGGGATGTGGATGGTGTGGACCTCTTGGTCGTGAAGGGGAGCGTACGAGCCCATTTTTTTTTTATGACACCACGAGATATCTTAATCTCCTAAGGAACTTGATGGTGTGTTTTCGTGATTTTGACGGCGTCGTGGCCCGCCAGCCGGGTCAAGGCAGGCAGACAGCAAATGTGACGAGATATCTGTTTTTTGCGAGCACGTTTTCAATCAAGCCAACGATCAACCCATTGTCCAAATAGTCCAATGGTCAATGGTCAATGGTCAAATGGTTAAATGTCCACAAACAGTTGGGATCACCCGATCAGAATAGAGCAGAGCAGAAACACAGAACAGAGAAGCAAAAGCGAAGCGAACGAAGCAAGTCACGTCACCTCAGCTCGCATGGGGTTCACGGCTCACGGTTCACGCCTGTATAGCCGAGACCACGCACGGCGATCCAGACTGGCGGATTGATTGATAGATAGATGGAAGCGGCATCATAGGGGGGGTGGTTGCTTATCATCGATCTGCCCACGTCTGCCCATCAGGGAAGAGTGGTAGGTGTTAGGTTGCATTTGTCGATTTGATGAGGGGTAATAGGTATCATGCGCAATCGCTAGCCCGTCAAGCCGTCCATGACCAAAAGCGGAAAACGGTCGCTCGTTGGAGACGAGATGAGACGAGACGAGACGAGGAGGAGGACGGAAATGACCGAAGAGTGTAGGAACTGAGTACGGAGAGTCAAACAACCCACAATGCGACATTGATACAGTACGAGGTACACACAGTTATCCCGAAGATTGATTGATTGGGAAATTGGGACGCCTCGCAGTCGCCTTCAACCCTCGACCGTCATCCGGAATAGACACAAGATTACCTCTTTCGGATCCGTCGACAACTCGCTTCGACGCCATATAGACATAATGAAGACCCGTCTTTAAACATCATGTGCCGGACCACCAGACAACGAGATTGGGCCGATTATGGAATCAAAATCTGGGGCCGTAATAAATGTCGTTGATTTCCCCTGGCTTTGGAGTAAATGGTGGTCTCGTGGACAAGGCCCCCTCTCTTCGGTAGGACGGTATATAAACATGGTCAAATGTCGCTGCCAAATTTCTGTGACTTTTACGTACCGAGTATAGACACGGTCCCCTTGTCTCTTTTGTCTCATGCAGTGCTCAAACAGAATACGAGGAATCTCTTCCGTCTTCCACGAAATATATATATATATATATATTGACAAGTTGAGAGGATGTCGACGGGTCAAACAACCTTCACCCAATACGTGGACACTGCAACTGGTGTGAGTTTCACGTACTGACGTGTTGGCGACAAGAGTGGCGTTCCTTGACCATGCATATCAACTATCAGGCTAATATGTACTAGTTGGATCGATATGGTGCAGCGGTAAAAACGTTTCGAGGCTGTGTTGGACTCGTCAAGGAAAACCCCTCGAACAGCTCTCGGTCGGTTGGGCGAGCTCCAGATGCTCGATTCTCATCGCTACTGGCGACAACGACTTGGTCGATCCCACCATTCGAGAGGCTGGGAGGTATATCTCCCAACAAATCCCAAATGCGCAGCTGATCATCTATCCGTGTGCGGATCATGACCTTCTGTGGCAATACCCGAAGCCTTACACAACGCACATCAGCATGTTTCTCGAGGGGACAAAGGTTAATCCATATCTGTCAATGCCGTAATGGGACCGCTCGGTGGCAGGAGAGGAGCGTTGATGGATTGCCAAAGATTCAATCCGTATTCCTCTTGGAGGATGTCGATCCAGAATACCTTCCGGAGCTGACATTTGGCCTTGTCCCACGTCAGGTAATCATGGTGGCCCCTCTGAAACTGCATCAACCGTGCTCGGAACCAGTGGTACTCGTCCGAGTCGACTGACACCAATCCTCCCATGAAAAGAACCCAGAACACCAACTCATCGGGAAGCAGCTTGGGCTCGACGGCACGGCATGCTGTTTTCAGCTCCCGGGAAATAAGACTGGACGAGAGTCTGGTGAAGGGGACTTCTCGGATGAGCGTCTGTACGAAGATCAGTGCTGCTATCACACACACTCTTTCGGCCACCCTCTGCTTTGGCCCTTGTGACCGCAGGAGGTCGTGCTGAATGCAGGTCACGTCCTCGTCGAACGCAAGAGGGTCGACCGGCACTAGCGTCTCAGCTGCAGAGCTGAGGGCATGGCACAAGTACGACAGCTCCGTCAGAGCATTCAATGCCGTTGGTGTCAAATCGAGGTTCAAAATTGCCGGGGGAATTGGAGGCGAAACCGAATCAAGCGCCATTATGCTGTGGAGCGACTTCCTGGTTCTGGTCGGACGCGGAAAATGAGGATGTGAGAGTGTATCGACAGCGCCGACAGTGTCGGATCGATAGATCTTCATGTGCAATACGTCCCTCACAGCCTCGAATCCCCCTCGTGCTCGTATCATTTCGTACATGCCCGAAGCATGCATTCTCCATTTTTGATGATTTCCCAGGTGATTCTCGTATAGCGCCAGGCACGATACAGCACCAATGGTGAGATCCGTGTACTTCCCGTCGCGTAGTCTGCGGTTGAGTCGATTCAGAATAACCTTCATGAGCAGGTGCGAATCCCTGAATGTCTGATGCCCAGATCCAAATGAGTAGTGCGCGGCACATGAGAAGAGGATCGTGTGCAACGAGACCTCATCCGTCACGACTGCAGGGAGCCAGATTGTTTCAACGGGGTTGTAGGCAAGTCGCAACGCCCTGCTGATTGGATACATGGACGCAGCAAGGCGTGTCGGATCTTGGTCCACGTCAGTACTCTCATAGTCACACTTCTTTTGAGAAGACACATACAGTAGCTCATGTACTCTTGGAAGGAGCTCACTTCCGGGTCGATAACCGTGTAAAGAGCCGTGGCTGTTCCAGGAAGCGTCAATTGCGTGGGCAAGAGTACATTCTTCCTTGTCTCTACAGACGTGGTGGGTGGGATCGGAGCCGTGGCGTCCGAGTCTGGTGTTTGTTCCCCAGCTGGTCCAGTGTGGCGGACCTTCTTCGATCTGGCATTCTGCTTTGAGGTCCTCTCCTTGGGTTTGTATGTCATGAACTGTATCTGACCCGACTCCTTTGCATTGCCCTTGGCTTGCGACTTGTGCACCGAGGTTGATCCCGCTCCTACGGGTGTCTGAGCTACCTTGATAGTGACCTCCGGGACGCGAGAGGGTTGAAGAACCAACTCATGGGAGTGGATGTCCTTCTTGACCCTTTTGCGCCGCTGCCAACTTCTATCTACCATGAAGAGTGATTGAGAGGGGAAAATCACCGCTTCCTCGGCCATAATGGGCGACTATCGGAGAAGATTTCGAGACTGGAACTCGACTCATACTTTAGAGAAACAGAAAAAGAAGTTTGGGTTTTTTTTTTATAATTCAGGGACACGAGAATAGGAGATCTGGGCATGCCTTCTGGGATGCCTGAGGGGCTAAAGTTGACCTTGGCCTTTCTTGGGTGCTTGGGTTTGTGTGAGCACGATGACTAAGCGATTTCTCCCTGCGAGGCTGAATATCTCAGCCTCGTCACCCCCAGTCTGACTCCACTCCGTTGGCCAAGGGTGTTAGGCTTCTGTGTCTTTGTGCAGACACTTTGATTACCTTAAATCACAACTTGGAAACCAGTACATAAATCTTGCGGACGAACTCTGATACCCTCAATATGGAGCTCTTGGCCAGTGGTGGAGAGATCAATCGCTCCAATAAAGCGTCCGCCGTGCCTCGGCCGAAAAAACCTTAAGCAGCCGAGAAATACATTGTTTGCTGCCTGGAGGCAGCAATGTTCTGGTTTTATACACGCCGGGATCCCAAGATTGAAGACCGCTCTATAATTCTGGAGAGCATACTCGTCCAGTTTGAACATAAAGTCGCAGAATGAAGGGGATTCTGACTGGAGCCACGGGATTCATTGGGGGAGAAATCCTGAACCAATGCCTCGACCATCCACGCATCACGTCACTCGTGGTCCTCTCGCGCCGCCCACTCCCCGAGCCAGCCGCGAGTAACTCAAAGGTCAAAGTCATCATCATCCAGGACTTTGGAAACTATCCGGACTCGGCTCTGGAGGAGCTCAAAGACGCGGATTTCTGTATCTGGTAAGAAGGCCAATCCGCTTTTTTTGAAAGTCACGTCCCCGTTTCTCGAATCAAAATGACCAACACGCTTGAAAAAGGGCGATCGGCACATACAATGGCGGCGAAGACGTCGAGGCCGACCTTCCACTCGCGCTTTGCAAAGCGATCGCCAAAGCCCGCAATGGAGCAACGACCAAGCTGTTCCGCATGGTCCTCCTGAGCGGCATGTTTGTGGTACACGACCAGAATGCTTCTCTGTGGTTCAAACCCACGACCCGCAAGGCCAAGGTATGTATTGATGTGCACACACACACACTCTCTCACACACACACACACACACACACACACACACACACACACACACACACACACTCCGAGATCTCCATTTTTGCTAACAGTCTACCCCAGGGAGTCGGGGAGATGAGACTGCTCGCATTTGCCGACGAGCAGAACAAGAACGACGGGAATTGGGAGTCATACGTGGGCAGACCAGGCCTCGTGCTGCCCAAGTACATCGTCGGTATCCACACAGGCACAATCGGAAACAGACTCATCATCGGCGTGGGGGTGCTGGCGGCGGGAATGATTGAGACGGCCTTGGAGGGGAACCCTGAATACATGGTTTATCATTCCGCACTTTTGGAGAAGGGAAGGGAAGCAATCCGGAAAGCCAAGTGATCGAGTCAACACACAAGATTGATTGGCGTTGTATATTCTCTTAGCGCAGGTGGTATATCGTTACAAGGGTGGTAGGATGGGCTCTCGGGATGCTGGAGCAGAATTTCCCATATCAATTCGTAAACATGTTCCCTCGTCTGTATTGGGAGATTACGCATGTCATTGCGTTTCCCAGTCTGCTAGTGGTTCAGGCCATGAAGAGTCCCCGGGTTCTTGTTTGACAAAACCACGGGGATGTTCTGCAGCTTGACGCACACTCGCCCCATCGCCTTGTTCATCGCTTGTGTCTCCGGGCGGGCGGCCCATTGACCCTTGAGGTAGTGGACCAAGCCATCTATCGTGACAGTATGACCGTGCATTCTCCTACCTTGAAGAGATCAGAGCAGTCCTTTTCAATATGCACGAAACGGCAGGGAAAGTGATGACGCAGATACCTTCATCTATGCATTCGTGAATCTTCATATCACCGTCGTGTGACCAAGAAGCACAATACCAAGTCTGCAGAGACGTAGTGACTGGTTGCCTCATGTAATATGCATGGTATGCACATGGGTTAATCGGACCACTCGGCCGAGGACACCTGATTGCAGCTCAAAAGGAATCTTGAAAAGGGGGAGCCAGTCCTCCTAATCTTCTCTGCAATCATCTGTCCCTCTGAAGAAGTTGACAGAGACTTTATCTCCATAGTATCAGCCGCGGCTCGACGTCAAAGACATGTTTGCTGTCGATTTCCGCATTGATTTCAACTCTTGCTATGATCAGACCGGATCTTTGCCGCAGGTGTTGCTGTCGGGCACATCCCACAAGCTGAATGAGCCGCCCCACGCTGGAATCGTGTCAAAGTCCCACGCTTGCAAAGGAGGAATCCAACCGGAATCAGGTATATTCGCTTGCTCAAATGATACATGGTGACCGTGAACAGGTCCGTTAGTGTTAGCACCGAATGGCTGGCTGCTCTGAACATCGTTTGGCCGGAGAAGAGTGTCGATCGGATCGTGTCCATCGAATAGGTCCTGTGCAACGGAAGTTGGCGTGGGACCAGCTGGCGTGTTGTTTCTGGAAATGACGACGGGGCCAAAGAATGGTATGGTAAATCGCAGTGTGTCGTTTGTTTTGCGATCTCTGGTGCCATCTTTGAGTGCTAGAAGCGCCTCCATGACCTCAACACCTTGACGAGCCATGAACTCTCGTGGCCCGCGAGACGCGATTCGCATGGACTCGATAACTTTGGAAACCAGTTTCATGTCTTTCTCCCCGTCAGCCGTGGTGACACCTCGTGTTGCGGATTCAACCCGATTGAGTATCAGTGTCACGGCGGCAATGACGGTACCAAAGTCAACAACCCGAACTGTGTTTTGAGTGTTGTTTGTATCTCGGAGAGCAAGGTACCGGCGCAGATGCTCTCGCGACGCAACCAGGCAAACATATCTGCTGTATTCAAACTTGCTGTCGGTGAATGCTCGCAGCATCCAAGGTATATGGAGGATTATCATGATTTGATAGATCCACATTTGAATCAGGACCATTTTGAAAGGATCATGTCCAGGGAAGGTTTGAGGCGACGGGGATAACGTTGGAATCTTCGTCAGCATGTCGCCCATATCTTTCCCAAGGCTTTCAATCTTTTCGTGAATGTCCAGCGTGGTGGTATATCCAGGCGCCGGCTCCTTTTGGTTCCTGGCAGCAACCATTCCGGCAATCAAGCAGGTTCTGCGCTCAAAAACATCAGACAAAGTCAAGATTGGTACTAGCACACCCTCTTCACCAAAGCAGTCGTTGCCAACGCCACATGGAAGACCAAGGATAGGAGCCAGAAAGTGATCAATCATGACGGTTCTGACCCATAGCATGGCGTTGGTTCGTTCACAGGGTCCTTCGTCTTCTGAACCTCTAACACACCTCAGATAGCTCTTTTGGAATCCCAAAAATTGGGCAGTGTATAAAGCTCGACGAGCCGCCAGCCAAGCTCGGCGTAGGTTACCGTCATTGATGTAGAAGATGCTCTGCAGGAGAAGACATTCCCAGCCCTCCATTGTACAAGCAAAGTCATCTTTCGAGGTAACGAGATCGGCTACATAGTAGAGGTACTTTTGTAGCACGGCTTCAATAGGAGAATTGAATTGGAGTCTCGAGGTGTCAAAGTCAGGAGGCAGTTGTTGGATAAGAATTGCAAAACGCATCAACGTGCGTGCTATAATCAGCGGCGAGCTTTTTGACAAGGTGGTTATATCAACATTCGCCCTTAATGAAGGATCGTGGGGAGAATAAAGTAAGTGACCCAGTCCCCAGGCGTTCTTTTCAGAGAATTGGTTAGAAACATGATCTGTCTCATCGCTGCCCAGCACTCACCGTGGATCTGGAAATGAGATCTGCATCTTCCTGCGTGGGGATGAGTGCGCTGAGCACCAGTCGCAGCTTCTCCAGCTTAGCATTCTGAGGACCTCCTGTACCTTGGGATGAGTTGCTACGCTCAGTCCCGCTTGACAGAGGAGTCTGCTCTTGGTGTCCGAACTATGACCGTAAGCCATGTGCCAACCAGTCAGGCGAAACGGTGGGCTCATCAAACGTACCACTGCGTTATCGAATAGAGAGATGAGAGGTGAATGAGTGGGCCCTTCGATTGGTGCGGTGATCGATCCACCTCGGGGTCCGACATTCAGGGCAGCCTCCACGGCGTCCAGCGATTCAACATCGGTCAGTTTCTCCAGGAGGGATTCCACACGGCGCAGCCTTGCGCTTAGTTCGAGGTTGTGAGAGTCGGGAGCATCAGCGGAATGCTCCCACCTCTCGCAAGCAATACCGCGACCGGCGCAAGCAGTGCATTTCTCGGACTGATTTGTACTCAAGTCACAACGAATCTTTCGCCTTCGACCTGCGAACTTGTTAGAGGAAGCGACCGGCGTTCACGGCGAAAGGCAAGCAACTTACACTCGAGACAGCTATTCACCATCCGCCGAATCTTTTTCCGGGGAAGGTCCATGTTATTGTCTGATGTGCCAACAAGCACCAAGCCACATCGGTAGTAATCAGGTTGCAGGAGAATTTGTGATGGCGCATGATTAGGCTGGTGGCTGGTGGTGCCGCAAAAGCCGCAAGTTGCCGCATTATGTAATCTGATATTGCGCTTCTGAAAAAGTGGTCGACTGTACTACGTCTCTGCTGCACATGCTCAGTCGTAGTGCTGCCGCGCACGTGACACGGTCCTATCATCCCGATTCATTCCAGGCAATCGTGAACAACTCCAACTTCTCCTCTGTTCAATGTAACGATAGCATTCTGATATCCCATCTATCGCAGATCCCCGCTTCACTTGATGGCCTGGACTGGCTCTTTGAGCCCTTAGCCTGCTTTGCTTCTCCATGTAACAGTACAATCGCATGGGGTTATCACGACGATCCTGGCTTCAACCTGGCCTTCCTCGCTTCCATTTGGACCGAGTCAGACAACAAGATGGATGCTATCGAAGAGTCAGACGAGCAACAGCCGTTGCTGGCGAGCCGATCGAATCAGATAGCCCCGGCAATTCAAGTCGATAGCAAAGGTGAGGCTTTGCCCTCGTGGCCATGATTTTCCCACTCCACGACGAGAGACCATTCCATTTCAGACCGTGGCCATTTACCTAGGTCAGCTGTATCTCGCTACCACCAGGAGGGGTCAAGTCAAGCGGCGAATATTTGTTGAACTCTGCTCCTGTGGTCTTATCGTCCTTGATAACGCAGACGTGTTCGGTTACATTTATCAGTTGGTCGACGCCTGTCACCTGGCCCTCCTTGTCCGCTCTCCTTGTTCAACTCTTGAGGAACCTGATCAATATCGCTCACAGCGGAAACTACAGATATGGACAAGGATATTGAGATCAGAAAAGAACCCGCGGGCCTCATTGCCACCGCATCTATTGACGACATAAACGCCGAGGCACGAGCAGCTACAGATCAAGAACATGGGCATTCCTTCTGGGAGGCAGCCAGGCTGTATCCTGCCGCTGTAGGATGGTCTCTCTTCTTTTCGCTGGGTGTCATCATGTAAGAGACCGCCTCAATTGGAGCACTCGCACATAACGGTAACAAGTGGGTGTTCAGGTGTGCCTTTGATCCTCAACTGCTGGGCCAGCTCTATGCGACTCCGGCTTTTCAGCGTGACTTCGGTTATCTCTACGATGGAAGCTACATTGTCTCAGCTCCCTGGCAGACTGGCCTGAGTATGGGCTCACCCATTGGGCAAGTAGTAGGAGCATTCTTTGCGGCCTATCCAATGGAGGCCTTCGGGCGCAAAAAGACCTTTGGAGCATGTGTCATCCTCACCACCGGTTTCGTCTTTATCCAGTTCTTTGCGAGATCGCTTCCCGTCCTGCTCGCGGGTGAATTGCTCGGAGGATTAGTCTTGGGAAGCTATGCCGTGATTGCGCCCGCGTACGCATCAGAGGTGTGTCCTTTGGCTCTCAGAGGTGTTTTGACTTCCTGCACGAACATTTGCTTCGTGACAGGCCAGTTGATTGCAAATGGGGTCATTGCTGGAACACACGTTCTCGACAGTCATTGGGCTTACAGTGCGCCTTTTGCGATTCAATGGCTATGGCCGTTGGTTATTCTGATCGGTTTGCCATTTGCCCCTGAAAGGTTAGAGCGCTTGATTTCATCCATCTTCATCCTATTGCTAACTACACCTAGCCCATGGTGGTTACAACGACAAGGCCGGTTTGAGGATGCTGAGAAGGCTCTGAAGCGACTGGCCTCACCAAAGGTCGACGTCCGACCTACACTGGCCATGATCATCGAGACGGACCGATTAGAACGAGAGATTGAGGCGGGTTCCACTGTAAGTTCCTCTGTTCAGGCTGGCACACCGGAAAGCTTCACGAACTGACAGCTGGTGTAGTACCGGGATTGTTTCAAAAAGATCAACATCCGCAGAACAGAGATTGCCGTCGGTGTTTATACCATCCAAGTCCTCTCTGGTATCTACCTTGTCGGCTATGCCACTTACTTCTTCACACGTATGTAAAACGGATCGTCCTACTTCTTTCTTAAGACTTTGCTCACCCAGTTTCAGTTGCTGGCCTACCGTCCGACCAAGCGTTCAATATGGGCGTTGGCTTCCTTGCCATCGGCTTTGTGGGCACGTGTCTCTCGTGGATATTGCTGATCTACTTCGGTCGTCGAAGAATCTACAACACTGGCTTGGCTCTGCTGGCAGTGCTCCAAGTAATCATCGGAATCCTTGACTGCGCGCCAAACTACGACAACAGACCTTCCATTTCCTGGGCCCAGAGCGTCCTGATGCTGATCTGGAACTTCATCTACGATTTGTCCATCGGCCCCGTGTGCTTCGTCCTCCTCTGCGAAGTATCGGCCACCCGAGTCCGCGGGAAGACCATCGCGATCGCCACCGCCGTCCAAGCCACCGCCGGTATCGTCATGACCGTTGCCATTCCCTACATGATCAACCCCGATCAAGCCAACATGCGGGGAAAACTCGGTTTCTTCTTTGGCGGACTGGCGGCGCTGTGTCTGACGTGGTCGTACTTCCGAGTCCCTGAATTGTGAGTTCTCCCTCTTTGTCCCCACTATTGACAGATCCTATCCGACGATGATTTGACCGTGACTGATCCTTTGTCGCGTCCATCACAGAAAGGGGAGAACTTTCCAGGAAGTGGACATCATGTTCGAGCGCAACATCAAGACCAAGGACTTCAAGCATTACGTGGTCACGGCTTGAGGTGCGGGGCAAGCAGTACCGACGGAATACGACACTCCTGATCGTGTTGGAGGAGACATATGAGATTGAGCGTGTGGGCTGGTTTGCGAGATATTTGATCTAGTCGCTATAGCAGTCTCGATAATGAATTTGATCTGGAATCTCAAGCCGTCGATGGAGGGCGTTGCAACGCCGCCAGTATTCGGACTTGAAAGTTGTCCAGCTATTTCGTATTCCTCTTCCAGTGACAGAGTACACTTTCTCACAGACTCGAGAATAAATTGCACAAATATAACTTTTTATCACGCCTCTCAAACGCCCACTCCGCAAGACCAATGTTCGTTTCTAACGTCTAAGTAAAATAGAGGTGTCTCAACGGTCGCAACGCCGGGTATCATAGTCGCATCAGCTTCGTCCAGTCCTTCAGTCCGAGATGTAACGCGTGGAAGTTGAGGATGAGGTTGAGATTGATCGAATTCAATCCAGATCCATGTCTTCCTCGGTGCCACCACCGACCAGCATCTTCCTCTTCCTCTTCTGTCTGAGACGCTCCTCCCCGACGACCCTGCTGGTCTCCAAATCCCTCTTGACCTGTTCGACCATGGGCTCCATCTCGGCGCGCGCGGCCTCGAGATCGGCCAACTCCTTCTTGATGAGGTGCTCGCCCTGGGCGACGACCTTGAGGTCCTGCCTGCGCCGCGCGTCGCGCTGCGCCTTGCCGCTCAGCCTCCGCCGGGTGTAGACGCGCTCCCTGCGCGCGCGGATCTCCTCGATCCTCTCCATGGCCCGCATGGTCGCCTGGACCAGGTTCCGGTCGTACTTGACGGGGGCGTTGCGCCTCTTTGCAAACTGCGACAGCAGCAGGTTCTGGTCGACGATCATCTCCTTGCCCCGCAGCGCCCGGTGCGTCTTGGTCCACTTGAGCTTGCGCGGCTGGCGCTTCATCTTGAAGTTCTTGTGGCATTTGGACCGGCAGAATCGGAACACTTTGGCGTCGTTGCGCACGAACGTGATGCCCTTGGAGGGGTAGACGGGACGGGAACACAGGTGGCACGTCTCGATCCTGGTAGAGGTCAGGGATTGTTAGCCAGGAGCAAATGAAAAGTACGGAGGGAGGAGTCGAGGGTATGTAGGTATAGCGAACCTCATGGTGGCAGATTTTTAGAAAGAGATCCCCGGGGGGGGGAGTTGAAAATTAAAAATCTCAGGTCTGATGAAAATGAAAATAGCGTGTGCGATGGCCCTGGGTTTTGTTCAGCCTGCCTCAAACCTTTGCGAGACTCGGAAGAGGTGTCGCTACCGCCGTCGTCGAAGTTACAGGGCAGAATGAAGGGTGCGGAAAATCTTTTGTTAGCGTCTGGTACATAAATCTGCATGCGGGAGGAGGGTGACGCTGCCCTGTACCTCGTCCTCCCTCCACTTTCCCACTGCCAAGGCTCGGAAGAAAAGTGGAAGCCTGAATGTGGCCCCACTTTCCAAGAACGTCAAAAGGCTGGCACCCAACTGGTGTAGCCAATTCTCATAAAGGTACCACACAAAGCAAGAGAGCCTTCCAGGAGTCTCATCGAGGACCTTGAACTAGGACGGGACGCAAGAAAGAAGATGAAGGTCCTGCATCTGGAGGTATGGACTTTTGCTATAAAATGTCCTCCCGTCTTCTACCCCGAGAAGACACCGCAGGGTTCTTTGAGAAAAGGAAAACACCAAGAAGGTCGAAGAGCACGACAGAGACAGACTAACTTTTGAAAATACCCCTTGGCAAGAAACGATGGCTTCAGGATGGACTGGCTTGTCTCAAGAAGTCCGGTGTCATATTCTACAGATTCTGAGGCTAGACGGTTGCAAAGTGAGTCGCTTAGCCACCGTATGTCGAGAGTGGCAAACAGAGCTGGAGAGATACAACTTTGCACGAATCAGAGTGACACCATCGCGCCTCGTCGATTTTGGTTCGATGATTCACCGCAATCGGGCTCTCGTCGAATACGTCTGGTTCTGCTTGGAACTCGATGAATATGGTTGCACCAAGTGTGCGCCTACCGGCAGAACGCTCACACAGGACGAGTATGAAGAGGCATTCAGTATCAACGATGCAGGTGGCTATCCCATCACCACGGCGTTCCAGGATCTGTTCTCGGTGCTAAGCACATGGGACCTTAAAGACAACTTGGTACTCGACATTAGTATCTACTCGCCTAGTGACTCCAAACATTGGTTCCCATATCTGACCTTCATGCCCGATATCGCTCTCGACATGCTAGGTGATGGTATGGAGCAGACGATACCAAATAAAGTCTATAACGATCCTCAACACGGCTGGGTCACTGGCTTTCGACACTCCCCTCCGCCTTACTGTGCTATCTGCAAAGTTTTTCATTCCATCATGGAGGGATCGTTTGATAGCGAGCAGTTAGAGCTCGAATGGTGAGATCAGTTTCCACCAGTCCCGGCGATAACCACTATACTTCTCCGGCAGTTCTGCTGCCGGAGATGGAAGCACGATTCAACAAGAATCTCAAGAGACTTGTGGTCTTTGAGAACTTCAACCAACAGTATCCAGTGATCATGCACCAAGTCCTATCCGGAGATGTCCTGAGCGGATGTGTCAGTCATCGCAAGCCAACTCCGGCTGTAAGTCGGATGGTTGGACTCGCCAGCCTCAACCTTGAATATCTCGCAGCATCTTTCATCGTAGATGCTAGCCATTTCTTCGACGTCGAACCCTCTTGGGAGTGGCCAAATATACGCTCGATCGTACTTACTTCAAGCCTCCTTACGCCTGATCAGGATCCTGCCAAGATTGAAGTTATGCTTCAGGCGGCCGCGGCCGCGGCTATGAAGATGCCACAACTGGAAACAATAGAGATCTGGAATGGAAGACGAGGGTTGGCGGCGCTATTCAAGTATCAGGTGTTCCGCAACAAACAAGAGGCTACAATCACTTGGAGAGGTACATGGCAATTGACAATGGAAACCATCTTCAATCGAGGCTTGGAGAGCCGTCATAGATCTTTATGCCGGTTACAGACTCAGTTTCGTTCAGGAACGTCTGGACGAAGCTGCTATCAAGTCTCACGCTGATGCAATTCGCCATCTAATGCTGATGAGCCCAGTCATTCGGCCCATCTCATTACAGCAGATTCAGATGGAGCAGAAATTTCTAGAGGGCGTGCCGGCCTTTACCTGACCTTCAAGTAGAAGTCTTGTTGGAGGTGACATTGACGACAGTAATGTTGTCCCTGTTACTGCCTAATAAACATTATCAAATTGAGTCAGGAGTACCTACAGTAGGAGGTGGTCACACTGCAACCCAAATGGGTAGGTACCCACCCTCCTTGGCACCATTTGATTGCTTGCAGTAGCAACACCTTGTAGGGGAAGTGTGGCTTCAGGGGAAGGTCGCGCATCCCAATGAGCTGGCGGTCATCAGAACAAACCCCCAAATGGAATGGTCCCTAAGAGGAAGGCTGGCCCCGAGATCCTTCTTCGGCTTTGCCTCTTTCAGAATAGCCTAGTGCCGCCCTATACGACTGTGAAGTCAACGTCACTTTAAAAGGGTATCACGTGGATGTCACTCGTGCTCTACTGAAGGTCACGATTATGCTCCTGCATAAGTCTTCTACAAGACTAGCGGTATCATTATATCCAATTGTTGGGGCCTTGTATCGACCATACGTGGGACCGCTGCCTACATCTCTCTTCTACTGGATAGATCCGAGAAGTTCGGGACACATCAGAGATGATCACAAACGTTGCCGCCACTCTGGACTCGACTGAGAGGTTCATGTCCCCGTCCCAATAGCGGAGGCCCAGGAGCCCAATCTCATCTGGAATGGAGGCAGCCGCTTCCACTCCTGCCTCGAGCACGAGCTCGTCCCGACGCAAAGCATCGACGGCTTGTCTGAGCTGCAAGATCCGAAAATCAAAGGTGGTATCTCCCCTCCCAACACGCCCTATCAAAGGTATTCTGATTGTTTGCTCGCGCATCAGTGCTCCGGGGGCAATCCCTGTACTGCTTGCAGTCGATCAGGACTCAAATGCATATACGACGCCTCTCTCGACCGAAGACGGAAAATCCATTGGGAACGGGCCGAGGCCGAGTCTACCCTTCAAAAGCAGCTGCTACAGCGCCTCCTCCGACTGATCCACTCCGGAGATGACGATATTCGAAAGAGACTGAAAGATGACGTTCCGATTCGGATGCTCGTGCAAAGGCTCGGCATGGACATACCCGAACATGCCGGCACATCGTCGAGCGCTGATACACCAGGGTCCTGGGCTTCAGCTCACGCCGAGAAGACAAGCCGCCATGAGTTCGCAGAGGATATAAGTCAAAAGGAAGAGTTGATTCGGCGGCAAGGAATTTTCCCCGAAGGAGTCCACGATTCTGGGACAAGAGCAGGCCCCTCTACCGCATGGGCCGATCCGGTAGGTTCGCGCGATGACCAATGGTATCTGCCAATCTTGGCCGGCGTGCATGTGCAGAGATCGGGGGAAAGCGACCCCAGAGACAAATTTCGAATCTTCTGTTCGAGGACCCACGATACTCCCAGCGTCGAGTTCGTCAGCATATTCGGCGACTCCTCATTCTTGTCCCCCGAGATCAGGGCAAGTCAGGTTTTGACCTTGCAGCAACAGCAGACACTCAATCTTGACATTCCAGAATACCTCATCCAACCGATGCTTTTCGAGGGAGAGCGATGTCCGATAGCTGCTGTATATACTGATTTTCGCGACTATGGACGTAGACAACTGGCGTCGGGATTTCCCGTCGAATTTGTTCTGGGGCCTCCACAGGTGGACCTCAGTCTCTATTTCCGCAATCGCAGGGTCGAAGACCCCCATACACCGGCGACCTGGGCCTGTGAGTACATGCGCCTCCTGAAGAACTTCGACACGTATGTAGCTCTGGCATGGATTTTCACCTATGCACATTTCATGCGCGTCAGTTTCACGGCATACACCTCTGGGGGAAACACTCGGTTGACTGGGAACTAGTGGACGATTGCACCTTCGGCAGCGACATACGCACTGCTTCCAGAGGCAATGAGACCGACACCTCTCCAGAGACTAGTCCGTCATCACCCCGGAGTGGATCTGCCCATATTGTAAGCCCGCCATCTTGCATCAATCGTACATGTGGACGCTAAACCCCTCGGTGTGGTGTGCTAGCCCTGAAATGCGTGACGGTCTGGTCCAGGATATGCGCGACTATATCGTCGCCATCCAGACCCTTGGATGTAGCGTCAATTGGGAACACGGATTGGCAGGAGCGATCGATACGGATCCCGAGACGGGCAACATGACCTTGTCAGACCGCTTCGCGATTCACATATGTGACTTGTCGCACTGGTCCATCAGCCAGAGATTTGCCGACGTCTTTCCGGAGATGCGAGGCTATTACCAGGTCTCCGAGCAGGACACGATCCCAGCGTCAAAGGTCGATGTCGAAGGATTTCTTGAACAGAGGGCTCAAAGGCGCCCTGGATCCGACCAAAGGAACGCCGATGGCTAAGAGATGGCTAACAGCGACATGGCGGGCACGGTCTTGTGTCAAGGAGGAGGGAGAGAAGAAGAACAAGAAAATTGTCCAAAAAAAACCAAGATCGACAGCATGTAGGCAGGGGGGGGGCTTGTAAGGGGCTACCGAGTAATTAGGAATTTTTTCTTTTTCCGGCATGCAAGCCTCCAGGTTTTGACTGGGCCCCGAACAACCTGGGAAACTTGCTCGTCCGGATATTACACCCAGAATGACACAACATACACGTTGGGGGCGGAAAAATGAACAATCAACCAATTAATTATGCAATCCATCAACTATTCATTCATTGATCGGACCTATGTAGGTAGGGAGTATCAGAGGGACTGGCTAGTGCTCGTATTGAATGCTTCTCCATCTAAAAGCGGATCCTGTATTCTCTCTCTCTCTCTCTATATGTGTGTGTGTGTGTGTGTGTGTGTGTATGTATCTATCCACCCTTGCCGTCCCTACCACTACGGTACTACCCTGATCGACCCTTCTCCCGTACCACAGTGGTGTCGTATATACCGAGAACCTCGTACAGAGTCCCCCCCTTTACACAGCCTTTGCTGGCTACTGCAGGGTCAAAGCAACTTACCTCTTCGACAATTATATTTAATATTCTTTTTTTTTTTTGTTTTGGACCCCTTTTGTTTTTTCTCCGCGTTTTTTTCTTTCTTACTCTTCCCAAAGTGGTTGCAAACTTAGGCTTTGAGGCTAAAGAGCCGTGCTACAAGTTTATCGGGAAGGAAGGATAGTGGGACATACTCAGGTACCTATGTAGGTAGGGACTCGGGAGTAATATATGAGTGTCGCCGCTTTAGGACCTGGCATAGTCAGGAAGGTGGGAGGGGGGCAGCGAGGCTGAAACGACTGTACAAGAAAAGGGGATGTGGGCCCTCATTCCATACTATCTACGAAGGTGCAGCTTACATAGTGGGGATAGAAACATTAATCCTCTCTGTCACTTTCTCACACACATACCTTTTCTCTTGATGGTTTGGTTTGGTATTAATGACTCCGCTGTACGGAAATCCCTTTGTTTCCAAGATGTATGTCTGTCGAAATCAAAAGATAGTCCCCACTATCGCTATGGTGCTCCATCTGGCTGGACGCTTCCTGCAGACGACAATGTTGCTCTAGCGCTACGGACGTATTCGTGCCTCTAGAGCCTTTTCTGCTTCAGAAATCACGTTGTAGGCAAACAGCCACTCTCTGATGTTGTTCCTGTCGTTGACCCGGGGCAAGTCTTGCGGTCTCGCCACCTTGATCAGTTCGTCCCACATGATTCCCACGGCGTCCTCGAAGTACGGACAGTGACTGATCAACTGCACCGCCGAAGCTCGTGGGTGTCGCAGGTTGAAGAACAGTTCCAGCCTCTTGGTGATGCCTCCGAGACTGTTTTCGCGCATTTGGGTGAACAGGGTGCCCAAAGCGCCCGCGTCCTCGATACACATGCCGGCACCCTGTCCCTGGTTCGGGAGCATCGGATGAGCCGCGTCGCCCACCACGACCAACCTCCCTTTGAACCACGTCGGAAGGGGTGGTCTCTCGGCCAGCTTCCACACCGGCAGAATCTCACTCGTTTTATCCGCGAGCTTTCCAATATCGGGATGGAACCCTTCTAGTTCACGACGCAGACTCTCGCGGTTGCATTTGAATCGGGACACCTGCTCGATAACCTGTTCGTTGGCCGCCACGCGGGAATACATACCGTAGTTAATCTCACTGTTGTCCCGGACAGGATATTGCAGGAGCCAGCGATTGCGGTCTGGGTGGACGAACCAGGTGAATTGTCCAGAGGAGGAAATGAGGTGTGCGGTCTGCGGGTCGGAAAGTATGGCGGAAGAGGGAAGCATGAAACGAATGATTGTAGTCCCTGTGTGAGAGATGTCGTAAGACGGGGCGCCCGAGCCGAGCAGATAGTGCGGCGCAAGCGAGTGCACGCCGTCAGCTGCAACGACCAGATCTGCCTTGTGTGTGGTACCGTCCCTGAGTGTAATGCTGCCTTCCTCAGGATCGTAGGCTGTGACATCAGCAGAGTAGGTGATGGTCACCGGCTTTCCTAGCGCATCTTGCTGAGTTGCGAGACCGAGTAGGGCCTGTTGGAGGTCGATGCGATGGGCGTAGTATTGTCGGCTCCCACCCGCGAGTTTCTCGTATAGACCCGGAGGGAAACTCATTATCTCCTCGAACGTGTCGCCCTTGACCATTTTGAACGTCTCGGCAACGTTGATGTGGTACTTCTCGTAGTCCAGTTCCCATGAGCTAAGGACCTTGGAGGCATTGTAGCCGATCACTACTCCGGCCCCAAAGGCTGTGGCGGTCTGCGCTCGTTCAAAGAGGTGGACATGGTGGCCAGCACGACGCAGTCCAATGGCTGTACACAGACCTGCGATACCACCTCCAACCACAATAACCTGGAGAGGGGCGGCCGAAGACATGAAGGCCGTGGAGAGATGGGAGAAGGAGATGCTCGTAGCTGGTTAGGAGCAGTCGGTGCTGAGTTTAGAGACAAGTCGTTGCGCAATGCGTGGTGTTTTATGTTGCGGAGATGGTAAGGGTCGCCTAAAGGCGGAGACAGACACCAGCACCACCACCTTCTCCTCCTCATCTCCCTCCTCTTCCAGAGTTATTATGTTTACAAAACACAAAATACACCCGTATGCTACACGCAGAGCTCACGACCTTCCCCAGATTTGTGGCTTGTGCCTCGGCTGGAGAATCTGGGGCTTGGCGCAGCCGAATGACATGAGCATGACTGTTGATCGCCTCGTTGTTTCTTCTGCTCTTTTGCTCTTTTAGGATTGTCCTCTTCATCTCAGAAAGCTCCTCGACATGTTGCCATTCTGAAGATGTGAGTTTTGTTTGTGATCTGGTCGTCCAACTGAGATCTGCTCAAAAGGATCTCCCGTTCCTGGCGACATCACAGCTTCGTTCGGTCCACAAATCGGAGCAAAAAAATACCTAAACGACCTTTAGTACCCAGTACCTACCAACGGGAGATCCGCTGAACTCCTCAAAACATCGAGATGGACAGAAGAGAACATTCGGCGCAGGATGAGTGGCGCAGGCACAAAGATTTCAGACGAGATCTCGGGGCGCAGCCTCGCGCAGCTAGCCACAGGTTGCGGGGAGCATCAGGTCGAAGACTGAGCAGACTAGAATTGATATGTAAGGATGCTCAGTCTCTTCACGGCCTGCAGAATTGGCTCAAATAAACATCCTTATGCGCCAAAAGATCCTTGGTCGCAAGCTCGAACACTCTCGCCTAGGCGGCGCGCCGAGTTTTGGAACTGCGGTAATCCCTTCGTGCAGAGATAAATTGCACATCTCCGGACAAGGGGGTTCAGTCTGGATCCAAGGGCCATGCACAAGTTTTTACAACCTGATCACGGACCCAGCTACACAGGTCGCCCGCTCCCCTTAGCATCCCATCAAGTCAGACCTTGTCGCTCAGACAAATCTGACTCGTGTTCTATCAGGAAATGGCTTTAGCTATGGTGTGTCAAGGGTATATCCCGCCAGCAACATGGGACCGTACTTCGACATTGGTGTCAGCAAGACTGATTCCCTATGGCAGTTGAGATCAGATTGCAATCTTTCGAAGGTCCTGCTCATGACGAGACGCTATCCTGTGCCGTACAAGATACCACTCCTGAGCAGACTGCCGGCTCGTTATCCAGGCAACCTTTCTGTGAGATTGCCATTCCCGCCAATCGACCGGCGTGGGAGCCCCCTTTGCGAGATCTTGCGGTGGAATATCACGTCTCGAGAATATCGAGCGAGATGGAGGCGCGGCCTGAGGCAATGGCGCTGGCGTGGATTTCCTAGCCTTGACACTGAACCACGGCACTTGGCTGTGAATGCCTTAGTGCTAGACCACCCTTCGAAACGAGGATGTGCCATGCAACTAGTTGACAGAATACGGGGTGCCGACTGTTTTCATACCACGTGGAGGCCCAAGTCTCCATTGTGCCGGACAGCGATCATGTCCGCCCGCTGCTTCGATGAAGTTGGCGGTCAAAGTGAGAGACAAGTCAAACACCATCGAATTCACACCGCAACAAAACTCACTCACGTCCTACTGGCAATGGCAGTGGAGAATTCCGTTGGCAGCCTCCACTCGAATGGGTTAAGATTCCCGGGCACGAGTAAGCTTCCTAGGACACTGTAAGTTTATTTTGGCCTTGCTTGATGCTATCTGCGCGCTTTTTCGCGAAACTGGAATGGTTTGTCGCATCCAACTTGGACGTTTATCTCAAGCCCAGCTAGCGAGGCTCAAGATCAATTGGTCCACAATCGCCCCTGCGGACATGTCCCGAATCCTTATCTTTCAAGGCTTACCACTATGAGCAGCCGTGAAAGCTTATGTTCTGGTATTGTTGAAGCATGCATATTACTCCGCGAATGCATGGGTGCTCAAGGCCTAGACTGTGTTGACCATCATTGCCTTTTGTCCACGATATTGGCCCAAGTCTTGACTCGTCCCAGCCCTCGTTGTTCTGACGTCCCCTTCCTTTGCTTGTACTTCTGAATCTGCGCCTCGACAATGGCGGCTCTGGAGGAGAGCCTACCTAAGAAAGAAGGCCTCTACTCGGCCGAGGTAGTTGGCAGTGACAACAGCAGCGATGCCATCGACCAAGATGAAAGGGATATGGCGAGGATGGGCAAGAAGCAGGAGTTTAAGCGGAATTTCAACTGGATCAGCAGCGTTGGTTTCACGTCTTGCACAATGGGCACTTGATATGTCTCCCCAGTATCCCTATTCTATGCGCTCTGACACTAACAAGTGCTGCACGGAGTTTGTCGCGTTGAACAATTTCCAAATGCTTGTCGACGGAGGGACCGCTGCCATGTTCTGGAGCTATACATGGGTCATCACGGGTCAATTCTTCATTGTCCTGAGCCTCGCTGAGATGGCATCAATGGCACCTACAGCAGGTGGACAGTATCACTGGGTCAGCGAATTTGCCTCGAGACGCTACCAAAAG